GCACTCCTCTTTAGCACATGAAATGTAAACTGTCATTGGGGTTAACAGCAACTAATCTGAATGAATCTATGAATAGGTTACATACTTAAATCTCAAAATGTCTGCCCGTACATATTTGCAAATGTGTGTGTGTGTGTGTGTGTGTGTGTGTGTGTGTGTGTGTCTGTCTGTCTGTCTGTCAGCTTACTGCACAGTTTGGACTTTTCTTTTTTAAGAAATCCTGCTGAAAAATTACGTTGTCCCAGAAATACAACGAAAATTTGATGCAAACGCTGTCATCCTAAAGTAATTCAGTGTCAGGTATTGATCAAACGTATGGGCGGTTCTAGGCAGGGGCCAACGGGGGAAGACTGAGCTTGGTCCTCCCTGTGGCCAGCCCTCCATAAGGAAGAGCCCCCCTATAACACATACACAGTATTTGACTCAATAACTAAACTCACAATCTAGTATTAAATACTGTCACTGAACCAAATCTAAATCATGGTATTTTATATTGTGGTATTTAATGATGTGCACTATTATTTGGCATAATATATTTTTTTTTAAAACCAAGCGATAATTTTTGTCTATTTTTGACCTGGGTTTAATGTTCCCCTCTGACAAAACAACTGGCCTCCGTTTGGCCCCCTCAGTAAAAGTGGTCTAGAACTACAACTGATTATCCGATTGCAAACAAATAGATGTGAATGTATCCTTCAACAATGGGCGATACAGTCTGATCAGCTCCAGTTGGAGTTCATTGCTGAGTGAACACGGTAAATCGACATTTAATCTTGCATATAAGCCCTGACAGTAAGCTCTTTCACTTGTCCATACTATGGTAGTCCAACTTTGATACTGACTTTTCTTTACGCTCCATGTCCTGCATGGGCCATCTTAATGCGTAATTCAAGAAAGCATTGTACCGCTGCCCCTCAGCTTAACCAGCGGACCTCTACGTGATAGGACAGCCAGTGCGTTTAATTATGATGAAACTTTTAAGCCAGTGTATAAGCATTGCCACGCTCAAACTTTCCAGTGATTAGGAAAACAATTCCACCTCTGGTTGACCTAAAAACAAATCCTATAAATCCTCTAAAAATTATGTCCGTTATTAAAATGAACATGTCATAGAGCAAGACCAATGGTATTAATTTGCATACCCATCATGGTGGTATGCCACTGGCAACAGCACAAGTCACAGAACTAAGGGCAAATATGCCATTACTGGCATGTAACTGAACTACAGGCATGTGCCACAGATCCCAAAGTGGCATGCCAGATGCCACTTCGGGATCTTGCTGTCACTCCAAAAAGTATTGATTCACCACTGCCACAGGTTCAGGATATATACACCCCCCACTTCAAGAGGAAGACATTACACATCCAAAACTCTACCCACCCACTTCTGTTTTCATACTTTGCTTCAGGTAAACAGCTACAAAGCGTTTAGAGCATAATCATAGACACTTTTTATCCCCAGACAATCAGTTTCCTGAACAGCAGGACTCAGTGTCTATGTGTCTCTACAATATAGTTTGAAATGTTGTATTTTCTGTCTTGCATTATGCTGCCATTTATTATTTATCTATTCTTTTTATAGTATTTGGTTGTGACAGATTGAGAGGGGTGAGGGCAACATAAATGTTATAGCATTAACTGTGCACTACTTGTAATGTTCATGACAAATAAATTAAACTAAATTGATTTGGAAATAAAGTAAATAGCTGTGTAATAAGATAATGTTTACTGAGCAGTTTAAGTGGAGCTGAGTTTCCCATCTGCTCTCTGTATTATATGCTTTTCACAATCCAATGTAAACTGCTTATGGATGGTAAACTAAGATGAAATATGGTAAATGGACTTAAGCTTATATAGCGCTTTTCTAGTCTTCTGACTACTCAAAGCGCTTTTACACCGCCTGTCACACCTACCCATACACACCCTTTCACACACTGATGGTGGTGGTCGCTATGTATTACAGTAAACGGTGTGCTGCTGCTGTCACGTTAATGGAAGAGGCGGTCAAATGACAAGCAGTCCGACTACAGTCTCCTTATCAGAACAAATTCACCAGCTGTCAGCTTTCAGATTTTAAGGCCAAGGCAGCTTCGTGAAATCATGGAGCTTTCTGACAGTAATACGACACTAAATAACTAAATAACTTGAGTGGTTCGTTATCTGCCTGTCACAAAGCATACTCTGAAGTATTACACTTACAGCTTTATGCAGCTGGTTGAGCTCTTCTTACCTTCACTGCATAAACTGACAGCTAAAGCCGGTCTGCTGACCAGGAAGACGCAGACAATCTGTGGCAAGCAAAACGTTCCTGAGGTCCCTCAAGAAATCTTCAGAGTAGACTGTTAGAAATTGAATTTGACACGGGTAAATCATATATGTCTCTACTTTCCCCTCTGTATTCCGCTGTTTGAACCGGATACTTTACTTCCTGGACTGACGCGCGACGTGCGTTCCACGCTGGCAGCTTAGACGTCACGACGAAATGCCGACTTTTATTAACCCTGCCACACATAGGGCCTGGCTTTTACCTTGTAGATACTGTATCATAAACAAAGCTAAAGCGGTACAATTCAAAATTCTACATAAAATTTACCCTGTTAACTGCCTCATTGCTAACTTTACAGATATTGAGGCTGAGTGCACTTTTTGCAAAAACGATAGTCTATAGAAACAATCTCCCACGGATGTCTTATGGAAAGACATCGAATCAATTTTTTTCCGGCTGCTAAATGTGTTCATTCTCTAAACCTCAAAAATGTTGATTGTTACTATATGATAATAGAAAATATTGCTCTCAAAAATGTCATAAACCTCATCATAGGCTACTATATGCAAAGTTTTTCATTCACAAATAGAAATTCTCAAAGTCACTCCCAAAATTTTTATTTCTTTCACTTAGAATTCAAGTCCCTTATTAAAGCACTTCTTTTAATCAACAACAAAAAATGCATCACATTTATGAATTATTATAACACCTTTTTCACTGAGACCTCTAGTTAAATAATGATTTACCTAGTTATGTATGCGTCTTTATTGGTATTTAATTTTATATATATTGTATCACTGCTGTCTTGTCTCCTGTATGTACTGGTTGTTATTTGTCATTATTTATACTTGATTTATATGCAGTACTGTATGGCGGCTGTGGCTCAGTTGGTAGAGTCGTCGCCTCTCAACAGAAGGTCGATGGTTCGATCCCCAGCTGAGTCCAATGTGTCCTTGGGCAAGACACTTAACCCTGAATTGCTCCCACTGCTTCAGTGGCAGTGTATGAATAGGATTAGTTACTTCTGATGATACTACATAGCGATCACTACCATCAGTGTGTGAAAGGGTGTTAATGGGTGGGTGTGACAGGCAGTGTTAAAGCACTTTCAGTAATCAGATAACTAGAAAAGTGCTATATAAACTCAAGTCCATTACTGTCTTCTATTACCTGTATATGAACAACCTTGTTCTTGAATAAAAATAAATCCCTGCCACACATTCATCTATCTGGCGTTAAGGTCACAAACATTGCCTTTAGAAAGTTATTTTCATTTAAAACTCGAGGGGGCACCGACTGCAAATATGCGAACGCTGGAAATAACAGAAACATTTATCCAGATTTAGCTCTAAACCTTTTTAAAGAGTTGTACATTTTCATGGTATAGTGTGAATGCTGATTTATGGTATAAAGGTAGGCTATAAAATCCCTGTTGACCAACTCCAGCAAGCTGCAGTCTTGCAGACCGTCGCGGCCCCGCCCCCGCCCCCAGCGGCCCCACCCCACCCCCAACTATGGGCAGGGGCTCCAGTTGGGGAAAATAATCTTTTCCCCCAGCCACCAATAATGCAAACGCACGGATTTTGAATTCCGATGCTAGCGCTTACAAGCTGTCATGTCCCATATTAATTAATTACTGTTTATTGACAAAGAAATATATATTAATAAACTGAATAAAATAGGATGGAATTGTTGGAATTGTTGTCCAATCTTACACAGTTTGGATAGCCTAAGGCAAAAAATTACTGTACTGCAATCCTGCAGTGCTGACTACGGGCATACACGGCTGAATTTTGGACTTCAGCCTAAGAGATGGAGCTGAGGTGGAATTTAAGCCTCTTGACAAACTGTCACATCCCACCTTCCTGTCAATCAGGTCATCTACAAACTATGGATGACATGTAGGCCTATGTTCATAAAATCAAAACGGTTGCATTATAAAAATGTATACCCCAGTGCAGTGTGTGACCTGAGGAAGATTGAAAAAGGAAACCATTGCAGAGTTGCAAAAGATTGCAGTTCCTCAACTTTCCAATTGAGGCTGGCTCCAAAAGTCAAGTCAACTTTATTTGTACAACTAAAATCAAATAAGGTGGACCAAAGTGCTTATTGAGAAACATGAAAACAACAATGCATCATCTGATAATTAAGTCAGGATTGTTAAGTTTTATTTCAATTGTATGAATGTTTGTTCAGAGGTAGGCTATTTTTCTTTTTTCTTTTAAAATAAAGAAATCCCTAAAACATAAAGCTGTATGCCAGTTTTCTTAAAGTGTATGAATACTGTGATTGGTGGTTGTGGAATTGGCGGCAATACAGGGGGAACCAGCTGAAACCTTGCCAATAGAACACCAAATTGGGGGCTCAGAGAATAACAGAATAAAACGTGTAATGTAAAACTTGAAAAACCCAGTAGGCCTACTTACGTTTAACATTGGGCCAATTTACTGTTACAGGCTGTGCTTACTGAAGTGAAGGTAAGTCCCCTCCCTAGATCTGTTGAAAGGTTGTTAAATCAAGGCCAAATTAAGGACAGTGGCAGAGGAAGATAAAAAAAAAATGTGAAAACAAAACAAAAACAAACAACAACAACAACGACCTGTTGAACATGCTGTAGCCTATTTCGTATTTCAAAGGAGAGGGGACACAAAGACCTTATGCGCCAGGTAGGCTTTCAGCCCCTCCTCCAATGGGCACCACGCCCTGTGAGTTGGAGGCAGGATACCTCAACGCCTCACCTTACTTCCAACTGTGCTAAAGCACCTGGATATAGACAGCGTCTCCTGGAGCCATTAAGACTTATTTTCTTGACGTTGACATGGAACCAGTCTACAGAGGCTTGGGTCGCTGTGTGTGCTGTTTTTGGCTCGCTGTAGCATTTGACATTGTGGGACTGGCCGTACTTCTCATTGGGCTGTTTGTGAATGTGTTTTTCTATGACTTGCTCATCTACGCGGGCGCCATCGTTATCTTCCTCAGCCTCATCTGGTGGGTTTTCTGGTACTCTGGGAACATCGAGGTGCCCCCGGCAGAGCTGGAAGATGATGTTGGGTTACTAAAGAAGGACAAGAGTGGCATGAGAGGTATTAGTAGCGCGGTAAGGCGCCTCTCGAGCCGTATGTCCAGCGGCATCAGGAACTCGTTTCGCAGGAACGAAGGACCGTCCAGCTCCCGCACGGCCCGGTCGCATAGGACAGCAGGTGGGCCGCCCGTGGGCTCTCAGTTGGAGCATGGACACGTTGCCATGGCAACGATGACACTTAAGGAACCTACCCCGCACACCACCTCAGGGGCTGGCTTTGTTGTAGAGATGCAGCTAACCACCACAGAGACTTCACCAACATAGTGTGTCCAATCCAAAGGTGAGACCTGACGCACACAACACCAGCGTATAGGCTAGCCTATGTAGGCCTATGTCCTTGGAGAAAAATGTGCAGTCATCAGGAAAAGTGATAAGTTGTATCAAGGACTTAACAAATTTGGGCCCTCGTAGCCTATTTTATTATATGGCAGTGACTGATAATGGCCAAAGTTGTAGTAAGGATATCAGGTGAAAAATAAAAGTAAATATGCTTCCTGTGATTAATGGTACAGAAACAACATTATCCCCTTTATGGTACCAATAGGCTACCATTTACTATTTCAAAATGAAAGTTTTATTTTCTTCTTGACTTCCATATTATTAACCATTTAAAAGAATACAGTTTAAGATCAAACTTTGATTAAAAAAAGGCTATAATTATAGACTATTATAAAGCCTTCATAAGTGAACGCAAATATCTGAACATAAAGAAAGATATTCTTGTATTGTATTTGTTGTTTGATGAAAAATGTACATGTTTAATTGTATATGGGTTCTGAACACAAAAGGAATCATGGTCTTTTTAAATAATTTAGGCCTAGCTGATTTTTATTCAGTTGGTGAATAGCCATTCTGCATACTATTATTAAAACGATTTTGTTTAAATAAAATGCCCCTTTGTTATTTTCCTATTCTATTTTCTTCTGGCTTGATAGTGGTTGATGCGGAACCATAAAGACGACTCTCTGTGGCAATGGCAGTAAAAAATCTTATCAATGGGTAAATGATTGACTATGGGTTAGCGCTCACTAAAAGACAAGCCCTTATTTCAAACAATACCAGGCTTACATGAAACTTCCTTGAAAACCTCATCATCAACATACTAAAACTGTCTGGAAAAACATATATGGCTTTCCAAACTCCTCTTTTGAATGTAAAAACAAACTCTAAACTACTGAGCATGTACTTTTTTAATAATTTTAAATCATTTTCTTCCCCAGCAAAACTTGATACGGGACTACTCTACAGTGTCTTTGGTTGATTCCAGTTCATGCTCTCCTGTTCTCCTGATGATATCTGTAAAACATAATGTTGGCATTTTGGGGTTGATAATAAATGCTTTATTCAAATAAATGTTTTCCAAATAAAGTTATGTTTTATCAAAATAACAGCATGGAATCAGTCTTTTAATATCGACAAACATGTTAACAATTCTACAAGAGACTTTAAGCAATTGACAGTTGAATATCAAAGCCCAACCTTCCAGGAAATGTACAGTTATGTCAGATGAAACATGCTTGCATCTTGTTACTGCAATCTACCACATCATGGAACATATGCACTTAACCAGGACTGTTTTAGCCCTCTACATTAGTGACCAAAGACATTTTGATTCAGGGTTTTCTGTCTGTCCATCTGTGGAATCACAGATCCACTTGTTTTTTTAATTTATATTTTATTTAAAATGTATTTGACCAAGAGAGACTTCATTGAGATTAAAAACCTACAAGCACAGATTAACATGAGTGACAGAGCAGAAAGTCATTAGTCAAAACATCTACAACCTGAAGCATCTTCCTCCAACACCAAGGCAGATATCATCCTGCAGGAGATTCCAGGCTGCAAGAGCAGTGTACCTGAAACTCCCCATTTCAAGACGCACTTTGGGAACAGGTAACAACAATAACTTTTGTGACTGGGTTGCAGAGTGAAGACTGTGGCTTCCAGCACTTTTCAGATGAATAGAGTTACACAAGTATGAGGGAAGCAGGAGCTTTGAGCCTTATAAATAAGGAAATGCCAATGAGTTTGTCTACGCTTGGACAATGCAGGCCAGCCGACTCGATCATACAGAGAACAATGATGAGTCAGGGCCCCGAGTGTTGTTATGATTCTCAGCGCACCATGATATACAGTATTCAAAGATTTTAGGTACTGAGACGATTCATGCATATAAACATCACAATCAATCAGGGGCATGAAAGTAGCAGCAACAAGTTGTTTTTTTGCAGCAAAAGAAAAACAAGATTTGTTTCTGTACTTGTACTCAGATGGATTGATTTAAGTCACATTCAATCACAATTTGTGACACAATTTCATATCATTATATATATACTGTATAGATACCCATTCACTGGGGTTTCTATGGTTCTCCATCAAACTTGGGTTTCTTCTGAGCCTGACTGGCTGCAGTAGTTTTCTTTTGTAACAGCTCCTTCTCGTAACGCTTCTGGTCCTCTGCCGCCTTCTTGATCAACGGTATCTTCTCCTCCCTCTCCGTAGAGTTCCAGACTGCCTCCATGCCCACCTGTGGCTTCCTGCAGTCACTTCGGTATTTGGCCAGGTAATCTCAGATCATGTTATGCTGCCACATTCATGTTAAACGATTACATTTCTTAATCGCAATTATTCTTAAATGTATAATAATGTAGAATTTTATGAGAATGTTTACATTAAAATATCAAAATTAATACAAAATTGACTAAACCTTGGTTATATATATATATATATATATATATATATATATATATATATAGATATAGATATATATACATATATCTATATATATATTTTGAGTATTTACATTACCTCAAATATTTCCAACAGTTATCAAAGCCAGAGAAATCCTTCATTTTAAAGTTGTAACGGGATCTGTCTTGTCGTGGCAGCCACCATGATAGGGCTGCCATGACAGACACAAAGTGTTTATTGTTTCCAAGGAAACACCAGATGTTTTGTCAAAGACTGCTGCATAAGGAAGCGGTAATTGCAACTGAAAGCTGCCGTACTATTGCTGTATGTACTGCTGTATTAAAACATAATGTTAATTACACTTTGATACATTAGCTCGTCTTTATAATCGTTGGTGTATATTCTCTTCCTCCAATCTGTTTCGCTCGTTCGTCTTTGAATTTTGAAATTTGAATTTCCCTCTGGATCAATAAAGTATCTATCTATCTATCTATCTATCTATCTATCTTGACTATGGTGTAGTTGGAGTTCATTTACATGGGGGGGAGTAGCGGTAGGAAAGAGAACTACTATGATTCTCCGCCAGTCTCAACGTCATCTTTTTGTTATTGTTTTGATAGAGAGCCCCCTGGCGACGGAATTTACATAATGTGCGTTTAAATTGCAGTAGTCATCTCGATTTATCGCATTTCGAATTAGCATGTTTTGAAATTCCATTGTTTCACATTTAAAAATAAATAAAAATTGTTAGGCTTTTATATTGAAAATGTGTACTGTATGAAGCTGAGAATAATTTACTTGCTGTTTGAATTCAACTCTTCTTTTATTTTGAAAAAACTAAGGAACTTCTGGTAGATCCCAGGTTTGCGACATTAACCACGGAAAAAAGAAACACATTAGGGTTAAAAAAAACCTCAAATTTAAACAGCTCTAAGGAACGGTCAAAAAGTTAAATGTTTGATGTGATAAAGTCGATATTTCTTGTGACTCGTCAGCTGAGCTGTCTAAAGTAAAATGAGAAATTTAAAGATGCATTGATTTCCTAGCCTATAGGCTAGGCTATGTATATATATATATATATATACATATATATATATATATACACACACACACACACACACACACACACACACACACACACACACACACACACACACTTGTTTTTGTTTTGTTTAATGTAATAAATAAACTACACAGTATGCTGTGAAAAAAGGTGCTGGTGCCTTTAATTCCTTTGTCCCACCTAACTTGCCTCAGCGATTAACCTTTGGAACCAGTCGCTTTATTACAGTGCTATTTCCTTTGACTGTGGCTGTGCCCAACTTCATCACTATCAGCCTACAGCACTTCTTTTCATTACAAAGTCCAGGCAACACATGTTAAATAAGGAATAACAACGTTTGTATAGGTAGGGGGATCAAAATATTTGCAGAAGATCAAAATTTGGGTTAAATAATAAACTGTTCAATGATAAGTCAGTTTAAATAAAATAACTACCTGGTACCTGGTACATACTAAATATTCTAATATTAATATGGTAGTTTGATTAATATGGTAGTTTGATCTCTAAATGAGGCAGAGAGGGAATACTGCATTCAACACACCTCGTTTGAATCCCAAGTAAGAAATTGTGATTTGTTTAGTTAACAGATATTGCATAACACAATGGTTAATTTTAGCTATCAGTTTTGTTTTTGCGGTGGGGGTGGGTCCGCCATCCGACGTTCATATACTAGCATTAAGTATTAGGCTAGGGCCTACAACATTGAAGGCGCTCTTTATACAGCCTATGGTGTAATTGGGCAGAAAACGGCTCGCCCCGAGTTCGGAAGTAGGATTAGTTCCAAAAAAGGGGGCTTAAGTGAATTATAGACCACATACACTGAACCTTGCATGTGCGTCGAAAGCCAACCGGAACGCAATAAAATATCAGGTATATGGGAAGACTTAAAGTGTGGTACCGGTATCTCGTATGCACTTCCGTGAAAACAAAACCTTCCCTTTAACAAAAACGATCGCACACATGTCTATGAGCTACGGACTAGTCGGATATTCCTTTAAGAAACGTTTTCATCAGTTAACAGAACTCTTTACCATACCGTCAGCGTTAACCATTTGACTGCAAATTGACCACACCGAACACAAATAAGAGCTTGAACTGAACGTGAGCGTAAAATATAGCATTTAAAAACAAGCGCTAACTTCCACAAGAAGTGTGGAGTATGGAGACAGATGATCGGGACTTTTTGAACACCCCTCCTGTTAAGACTGTAAGGTTTGGAGGGAGTGTTGCGGAAACTCTAGCTAAACAAAAACAGGTACGTTCCAGTTCCCACTTTGTTAAAGTTATCGAAGCACTACACACTGCAGTACAACTATTAAAACGACATTTCTTTCTGCGTTTAGTTTAACTAGATAACAAGAGACATTAAATTGGTGGCAGCGCATTGCAACATAATCATTACTATTCATCTTATTGTTTCAAGGGAGACAAAATTGACTATGAGCTGCTAAAACACCAGCTAGCGGATCCCGAGATTAAGGTAGGCTACAGTGAAGCATCAGTGTGTCCGAAGGTAACCTGAAATCTGTATGTCACATGTTTGTTCTTCAATGAGCTTTCTCCTCTGACAGGATGCTCAAATCATCAACTGGCTACAAGAGTTTCGTAGTTGTGTGACCCAGCTAACCAAAGAACATGAACAGCTCATCTACACAATTTTGGTGAGGTTGAAAAGACAACAGGAAGAATATTGTAGCTCTTCATAGTTAACTGCTTATTGTGAACTAAGAATGGTAGGGACCTGTACCAAGCTGAGGGGATAATTTTTTTATTGTAACAATTAATCATACATTTGCTAGTCAATGGAAAACGCTAAACGTTTTCTAGTACCAAATGTTGGAGTTTTTTGTACATGATCGTGCATTTGATGTCTTCAGGTTTTGGACTGTTTGTTGGCAAAAACAAGAATTTTCACACATTGCCCTTGGTTCTGGGAAGTTGTTATTTTTCTTTAGAAATGTTTGTTATGCTTTATTTATATTGATATCATAAACTTACAAAACGCATACACAATAAGTTTATAGGATAGAGCGAAAGATGATAGACTGTGCAATATTTTGAAAGATTAACAGTCACTTCATCTTTGTGAAGCATTGTAAGAAAAGTAAATTACCAACATGATTATTTTCAGTATTTCAGTATCTTCCTAAATATTTTAAGTAAATAATAGGCCTATGTTAGAAAACTGAAACACTTTTTTGTTTTTAGAGGCTTCCTTGGGTAGGCCGTAGCCAGGCTGTAGTGGAGGAGTACATGGCCTTCTTAAGTAACCTGGTTTCGGCACAGACTGTATACCTGTGTGCCTGTCTCAAAATGGTGATCTCCCACTTTATACCAAGTAGGTTCCCCTTGACTGCTGGCATGATAAACTTATATACTAAAAATGTGAATTTATCAAAGTAATATTGACTATCTTAACATAAATAGTTTGTTGACTGTATTTATTTATTTTATGTTAAATATATGGTGTGATTTTAAATAAAAACATTTTTTTTATCGTATCCCAACATTAGTGATGCAAAGAAAATAATATGGTGCGTGCGTTTGTTTCCAGAGCGAGTGACAATCTGTGAAGGAGGCATTGATATCTCTGATTCAGATGATGAAGATGAAAGTAGGTGTCATTCCTCTAAT